TATGTTCTCAAAATCTCACAACTTGAGTCAGAAATAAATATTGAAACGTTGATGGGCAGATGAGTCAATCCAGTAACATCCCGGTTTTATGCTAAGTTGTGAATAAAACATGTTTCTGTTCTATAATTCCCAAGCCGGTGACCTGGAAATCGTGTAATAAGCTTCGGTCAAATTAAATGGAAATCAGTTGTAATAACCGCTAAGTATGGAAATTTCTGTTTGATGCATATTTGGCTTATATGGGATCGTCACGTCTTGTTTGATTTCCATTTTATTATTAGTTAGTAATTTAGTACAGGGTCGAACATGGGAATCAATTCGTTGTTACCGTATTTCAAATATGTTTTAACGATCGGTCGACGATATTTACTTGACTCACAAATAACCGTTGTTAAAACACCACATTAGCAGCACGTTTTTAACAAGATTTACCATAAATTGTTTTCCAATTATATCATCAGTGTATTTTTTATAGTAAGTTGTGCAAAAAGTTTAAGAAACGCTAGTCCTGATTCGTTCGGGAGGGCGGCTGGAGATATTTGGATCGGAACCTCACGGCAAACCAAAGGGAAAGCTCCGTGCAAAACCTTATCTTCGAAATGGAATTAGGGCCAGACTCCCACTTGGCTCTTGTTAGAGCGTAATAGAAACAGGTCTGATGGGTACATTTCCTTTTCTATCCAAAATTGGATCTTCATGAAAAATGATTCATGAGTTAAACATTATAAACCAGGTTTAACGGCGAAAAGACCACTAAAGGTTTCAATTAATTGTATGAGACTAGAGTAGTAGTTAATCATTTCAATAACAAAATGTATTTGAATGTACATGAAACTATCACATGCATAATTGAACAGCCAATAAATAATTAATAATAAAATAATAACAAACGTCAGTTTGGTTAGTATGGTCATTAGTCATTTTTGAATGAAGGATGTCAATATTTTTAATTGTCCTCAAAGTTTTTATAAACAATTTTATACATTGCCATTGGTTTAACAGAATATACGACTTTAAAAATATAACAATTATTATTCAGAAATTGTGAGATGCGGTCTGGTGTGATGTAGGTTTCAGAAAAACATTTTCTTTATCGTGGCACGATAAAGAAAATGTTTTTCTGAAACCTACATCACACCAGACCGCATCTCACGATTTCTGAATAATTATCGATTAACGGTCACTAACCACAACGCATATAATAATTATTTTTATTAAGACTTGGTAACGAGGTTGTTAATGCCCCAAATAGCCCCCCCCCCCAGCCTGATTGGTACTGTTACGTGGGTTCTCAACAGAAAGGTACATATCAACCCCCAGGGAGACGGTGTTTTTATTTGTATGTATGTCGGGCCCGAATGCAGGGCCGCTGGATTTGAACTCGGGACCTTTTCCTTAAAGGGTTGGAACCGTTGCGGCAACCCCGGTGTTATTGTGAATTCTGTGATTGGAATAACTTGGTCAGTTTAGCTCCAATAATATTCACGTGGTATTCGAGCGGATACTCATTATTGCTTCATCACCTTTAAAATAAGTTGCCAAATTAATTAAAGTAATTCTAGTTCTACAGGGTGTCTTAACGTCAAAATACCGTGCGGCGCGAACGGACGGCCAAGCAGTTTAACAATACTTTTTTTAAAAATTATTTTAAATTAAAATACTAAGGGTGTGCGGTGAATTGAACTCAGATCCGCAAGCATGGTAAATACGAATCGAACGTTGGTCCCACACCAATCAGCTCAGCAATTAATCAAATTGAGGGTCGATTAAACAGTCTACCATAGGTCCTCCACACTATCTGTGGTGATAAATACCATAAAACACAAAAACTCATATTTTTCTCAAAATAGCAAATAATGGGACTCATTACGTGTACAGTTAATTTAATTGAATACGATACTCGATTTTCTATCGTTGACGATTGGAGCAACGGATCGTTGCTGTGTTCAATAACCGTTCTCATGCTGAGTGGCATACCTACATGTGCTCTATATAGAGCCAAGGAATGATCTCTTTCAGTAACACTGGCCACAATAGAGCTAGCTTTCTTTGCATACGGACACTTACATTGACTTTGTCTCGAAGTACAACCGTTGTGTGAACTACGTACGACATGAGTTAGGATGATGAGCTAGTGATATGTAAATCTTCTAGACTGAAAGACATTGCCATTTTCTTTTGATAATCGTCTGGCTGATCGCACTGGTTAGGTCTGAGTTCAGGACACTCTTCTTTTTAGCGGCCTTGCCGCAAATATACGAATTTGTTATTGTAGTTGTTACAAAACTTTTCCACTCAACGTTTATATTAAATTCACTAGTTTTGGTAGTCCATTTGACCAATTAATATCTTTCAATTAATTAAAGTTTTTAGTTGAGATAAAAAAGTCAGTGACTCGAGCGGGATTCGAACCCACGATCTTCGGCTAGATACGCCGCTGCTCTGCCACTTGAGCTATCGTGACCTCGATCCACTCGGACACTAACCTCCCATCTCAACCCCACTTTTTGAATTTTCCCTCCTTTTTGTCATTTTTTAAATGTCGTGTAATCTATTTGATTCTCGGCGACAAATTAAATGGCCACGGAGAGCTTTAGTGAAGGTATATTTCATTTTAACTTATTAAATTCACTAGTTTTCGTGGTCCGCTTGACCAATTAATATCTTTCAATTAATTAAGGCTTTTAGTTGAGATAAAAATATCAGTGTCACGACTGGGATTTATATTATGGTTTATATTAAATAACATGTTTGCTTTCGTCTAGTGAAATTGTAATCTAAGAAAAGAAGTAAAATGGAGACATCACGCAAAAGACCTGTACAGAATGTACTTTTCGAATTTATCACTTGTACTTGTAAAGTGGCCATGAATTTAAAAGTGTGATATAAACCTAATTTGTGCTCGATATTGATGGAAGAGTTGGCAACGAAAAGGCAACGCGTTCCTACTTCCTAAACGGAAACCGATATGAGACATTGGTTCCGTGCAATGCGAATAAATATTTTATTATGATTTGCTGAACAATACGGGATGCCATCTCACTCGCTCTCTCTTTCTCTGTTTGGAGGAGAGTGGGAGTGTTTCTAAAAACGTTCTTACGGTTTATGGGGCCCCAGGGGCTAGAGAAATGTTTCTGTTTCAGTCGGATTGCCAATTTTTTTCCTTGCGTCTCCTCGATATTTTCACTCCAACGAATCAATTTAAATATATTAGCATTTTACTCTGTGTATGTTGAAATTGGCCTGGAAAACTTTTTATATTCGATTTAAACTTCCCGCCTACGGATTATGCAAACTTATTTAGGATTAGTACGTTCCGATTACAGTTTTCAACTGGTTCCCTGACCCTATCGGTGACCTGGTTCCATGAGTTTCCTTTTATTCATTTCTTTTTGCAAAAATGTAATACCTAAGTTTTAATTTTATAACCATATCAATTTGGAAAGGAAATTGTAGCGACCCACCTTAGTACAGGTCATTAAGAAAGACAGGCAATGATAAAAATATGATATCTTTAAAAATTTTGTAGTATAAAGTTGTTAAGAAAGGAAACTTTGTTTTAAGGTGATTAGTTGTTTTTAAACAATTCTGTTCCGTATAAACCGTCCGACTTAGATTTGTAAAGCTAATAATCTGAGGTTCGAATCACGGTAGCCTAAGAAATTTTACTATAGAATAATTTTAAAAAAATTGTGAAGTTGTTAGACTTTTCCTTCTGGACAGCTGGCACAGTTGGATGTTAAACCATCTTGCATCACAAAAATTACTTTACTAATTAAAAATACCAAAAATTAGTTTACTAATTAATTTGCGCTACATCGTAAATAGGTATCCTAACTAACTCAATCAATTTAACGACCTCGCATTCGTCCGTTCTTCATTTCAGAATTCAAAAAGAATGGAATCATTCTTTTTTGGAGAAAAATGCTTACTTATGAACAATGGGTAGACTGGGTTCTTCGAGATATAGCTAGCCTTACGTGACGTCTTAGCGAACAGTATTTTTCCGAGAAACAGTACAATTTTTGAAAAAAAGCCAAAATCAAAAAATTAAAACGTGTTGGCTTGACGGAAAACGAGCCGAGAAAGAGTTTCTATATATAATCTCGAAATCGATAATAAAATAACAGATTAACAGATCCAGAAACAGAGAATAACAGAGCGAGAGAGAGAGAGAGAGAGAGAGAGAGAGAGAGAGAGAGAGAGAGAGAGAGAGANTATATAAATTAATACAAAGATCCTTTTTTCCCTCTCTCACTCTCTGTCAAGAAGCCAGAAGAAAAGGTATAAAGTGAGAAAATTACAGAAATTGCTTTTTAGGAAAAAAAGATAAGAAGTTAGTGAGAGAGAGGGAATGTGAAAGAGGGAGAGTGAAAGCGAAAATGAGTCAGAAAGAGGAAGAGAAAGAGTGGAGCGAAATAAAGGTTACACATCTATAAATAAAATTGTGTATGTAATTGCTATTTTATGACTATGCAATAGCAGTGTGAAACAACAACACACAATCCTACATTAGTTTATAAAATGTACCACTGCAAAATAAATAAATCTTAAAAGCCCGTTTAAATATATTGCAAGCTGAAAGTTCAAAACGTGATTTTAAATTATTCTTTAAAATCAGTTATTATTAAAATAATTTGAGTTTCTACCGCAACAATGTTACATTGAGCATATACTTTTATTGTAATTTATTTTTTCAACGTTTATTGTGTACTGCATTCTTGTTGTCCATATTCTTAATGAGGAATCATATTATTTGCAGTATTTATTTTTAAGTATGCGCAAGAGGGTACTTGACAAAAATTGTTTTACTAAATTAGTAAGATCCCTAATTTGTTGATATTTTGCTAATAACGTTCTTTCGCTAACTCCATTATCGTTTTAATGCGATTATTGCCTTACTTGAATGTAAAACAACTTGAAAGTTAAGCTTCAATCGCTTTGTAATTTCCGCACTAGACAAACAGCCATTAACATAAACAACTTTTTAAATGTTTCAGGGGCGAAATACGAACCAGTGCTTTTAGAGAGTGCTTACAAAGTCCACATGAAGCTTACCATCCACTCTGTCGGGCCGTCGGACTATGGATCGTTCAAGTGTGTATCGAAAAATTCGCTGGGCGATACTGATGGAACCATAAAACTCTATCGTAAGTACCATTTATACATTTTCAACTTTTTTATCTCAACGTTACTTTTCGTTAGTGTATTAAAGCAATGTTGATAAACGCAATAATTTTTTTTTTTTAAATAGATTTGAAAAAAGTTAAATTTATAATGTAAATACGACAGTAAGGAGTTATAAAGCAAATGCGCAACGCGAAATCAGTAACAGCCAGATGAACATGACACACTATCAAGAGAGACCTACTCGATTATGTTAATTTTCCTTTGGGATTTGAGAAAACTTTTCGCCTCGGTTCATTACCGGTTAACCCGGCTTCCGGACCACATATACACGGTTACCTATTATTTACGCGTCGATTTATAAACTTCTGGAAACTTAAGCCGGTGAGAAGTTTGTTTGTGGGTCTATTATAAAGTTCATATTGGCTTGAGAAGTGGAGGGACGGGTACGGTTAGACCGGTAATTGGAACCGATTATTCTCCGGATTTCGCCTCTCCGCTCCCGTTATGCTACAATTACCGTCTACTTCAAATGCCTTGAAATAAATTGTTAATAACTACTTGGTGTCTATGGGACGATTTAATTCCACAACTGGCTAACAATCATTAATTCATAAAACAAATTGCTTTGTCCTCTTTTCTACTCATTTACTCATATCTCAACATTAAATTATAAGCACACAACCAAACTTAGAATAAATTGTTCTTCATCTACCAAAATAACGAGTTTTTAAAAATATTTTTATCTATAAAAAACCAAATCACAAAATTATAATATATAATAAATAAAATGTAGGTTTTGTTTTTATTTATTTATTTATTTTTTTTAACGAGGGTTTGCAACAGCAGAGGTTATATCAATCCTCGGGGTGCTGGTATTTTTGAAAAAAAATAGAAAGAAAAAAAACGAATACAGGGCCGCTGGATTCGAACCCGGGACCTTCACCTTACAGTGATGAGCGCCGTGTCAACCACGCCTAAACCGACGCCCCTGTAGGTCTTCTTAAAAATCATATTTAAAAAAAAAATTAACCGCAATTCTCCCAGAGTGATTGCCTTGCAGCTAGATTTTATTGTTAATACTTCGAACGTGTGGGTTTTATTTTTGTAAACCTTTGATGAGAAATTTGTTGGCGTCCTTTAATTAAACCTGAAGACCGGTTTGCCCCAGTTGCTTCGGTAATTTATTAAGCCTTCACTGTTGCACGTCAACTGCACTCGTCCGGAACTAAACACTTGGCACGATATTCCGACCGTCGGTAAACGGTCTGATTCGAATTTAATTATTCCAAGATTAATCTTTGTTTTAGTATGTAATTAATAATAAAATCGATTTACGATCGGCGGTAGGGTATGAATTCGAATCAAGGGAGTATGTTTCAGCGGAAACACGTTTTATATACATAACGATATTGCCATTTCAGTATGGACAAATAGACAGTGTTTGTGGTTTGCGAAGAGGCATGACAATAAAAGAGAAAGCCAAAACATGGGAGAGCATAAAATAATTGTTTATTTGAAAATGTGTAATAAATTTTAGCTGGTTCTGCTTTTGAATAAAACACATCTCAATTTATAGATCTAAAAAAAATTCACTCCTTAAATTATAGATTTATACTCTAATTTAGCTCTAAATTATAACAAAATAAGGCAACTCTCCGAGTTGAAATATTGAACATAGTGCAGAAGAATGGAAAGAGAGAAATATAAAAAGAAAGAAAAAAGTAAATACAGAGATATATGTCAGATACCCGACGCCATATTGGGAAGACGAAAGAAAGCGGAACCGTCGGTCTCTTCCCGGCCAACTTTATCGGGTTCCATACCGATTTATTATTTAATTAAATTTAGAAAAACATATAATTCACAAAAAAATTTCTGACCAACTTTAGTGGGTATTTTCATATTATTAAAGGTAAATCCTAACTAGGCCGCTAATTATTATAAGGCTCGCCTTCCTTCGATCATCGCCAGAAATATCTGCCATAATGCAACACTTAGACAATTGCAATAAACCCTTATTGATAGTATAATGATTAAATAACTATTTAATGCGGTAAGACAAGAACAAAGTAGTCACCGACATTATCGAATACTGCTATGTGAGATGTCATTTCAACACGTCTGCCGCACCGGGAACACGATATCGCCTCCGTCGCTTTGTTTTTTCATCGTGTCCGACCGCCTCTGACCTATGCAGCAATAAATTTATTTAAACTCGCCTACATTTATATAAATAGTAATATATAATGTCAGAAATGCAGGTAGACGTGAGAATGAAAGAAAAATAGAAAGAGTGGGTGAGATAGAGGAGAAGAAAAGGGAAAATGAGAAAGTAAGAGTGTGAGTGAATGAGGGGAACAAAAAAGGAGAAAGATAACAGAAAAAAGAAAAAATATTTTTAAAAAAATTTATCGATAATAAAATAGAAAGATAGATGCGCAGATAACGGTGAAGTAGAAAAAGAAAGAGAGAAAGAGTGAGTGGGAGAGGGTGAAGTGGAAAATGGGAAATACATTTTAAGGAAAAACAAGAGAATGTTGATAAAGTTGAAGCGGAGAAAAGGAGAGAGAGAGAGAGAGAGAGAGAGAGAGAGAGAGAGAGAGAGTGAGAAAGAGAGAGAGATAGATAGAGAGGGAAAGAGAGAGAGCGAGAGAGGGAGAGAGAGCGAGAGAGAGTGAGTGAGAGAGGGTAATAAAATGGGTGTTCTGAGGTTTTCCATTTTTTTGCTTAACTCAATTTATTATTCTGGATCTTGATATTACATTTAAAAGTTTTAAATTCCTCATAATTTATGTATGTAATTATTAGAACCACCTAATGGTAATTAAATACGTCATTGTATAATAATTATAACATTAGTGATTTTGAGCAATAATTAATAATAAGAAATAAGAGTCACACCTCACTCACAGAATTATTGTTAGTAACTACCCTGATTTCAATCATTAATGAACGATCATCATCAGGTTAAAGGAGTTACACACACGTCTCTGGACACGAGTTGTAATAGTGACCAGCCAATCAACCGCCAACGCGAAATGGTTTTAATACCGCTCATTTTTGAACGTGCGAAAAATATGAATTACAACACAACGAAATGTATATGTAATTATGTATTATGTATGTAATAAAACTAAGAAAAGAAGTTTAAATTTGTGATTAATTTGTATGTCCTAAGTAATGTTAAAAATAGGGATTTATCCAAATATGCGATATTATTTATTCATTTACCTCCATGCTTAATTTTTAAATTTTTTTATTTCAAATTTCTAAAACCAATCTTGTTGCCTCCCTTTGTTGAAACTGTATAACATTGTTTCATTTAAATTTAAATTGAAATAGTGTTTTGTTTCATTTAATCGGTCTTTAAATTTAGAAAATTTGTTCGATTTAGGCAGGTGTTCTTGAACACTCGTTTTAATTTCTCTGCCGCTTTGCCTTATATATTTAATACCGCAATCATTCTAAGTTAGTTTGTAAATCCCGCTTTTTGACAAGTTGTCATCCTTGTCTTTATACAGGGTCTCCCAGTACCTACAACTTGTCAAATTTCACAAAAACTTTTTCATTTAATATGCTTTACGTTGATATATCCAAGTTTTTAAATAACGTCCTAGTATAGTTGAAAAATAACAATTGAATGTTCGAAAACGTGAGCTAAGGTAAATTTGAAAGGGGGGGAGGTAGAAATAAATCAATTAGAACTCGCTTTGTAAAATAAAAATGACACTTGTTTGACAGGTTGAATGAAAAATGCTGGATGGGATCGAAGTTTAAACAATAATCATCACAGAATGTATCATGTAGAGTGTGTTACTGAAAGATAATAATATTAATTAATATTAATATTATCTTACAAAGCGAGTTCTAATTGATTTATTTCAACCCCCCCTTTCAAAATTTACCTTTGCTCACGTTTTCGAACATTCAATTGTTATTTTTCAACTGTACTAGAACGTTATGTAAAAACCTGGATTTATCAACGTAAAGCATATTAGATGCAAACGTTTTTGTGAAATTTGACAAGTTGTAGATATTTTTTTGTAACCTCAGTAGAACGTGCATTCATGACGAAAATTTTAAATTTTGTAATTTTGACATGTTCGAACTGATATTGGCTAACATTTTATATCATTCAGATTATCGCAAATAGAAGTATGTTAAGCAAATTTAGCGTTCTTTCAAATGGTGTAATTGGATTTGTGGTAATCTCAACATTTTGGAAGTTGTATGCGTTTTTATGTGGTGAGGTAGTTAAAAGTTGAAAAAACTTAAATTGATGAATTTCTTCAAAATAGAGAACTTTCCGAAAATTTTATNGCCCTGAAGATGATCTCAATAAAGATCGAAACGTTGGCACGATAAAGAAAATGTTTTTCTGAAACCTACATCACACAAGATCGCATCTCAAGATTTCTGAAGTTGTATGCGTTTTTATGTGGTGAGGTAGTTAAAAGTTGAAAAAACTTAAATTGATGAATTTCTTCAAAATAGAGAACTTTCCGAAAATTTTATCCTGGGCATTTTTTGCTCCAAACGAAGAGTAGAATCGATTCCCTGAGTTTCGTCAGAAGGAACTGGGACACCCTGTATATTGAGATAATGTTTCTAAGTGAACACGCATTTTAGGATTAGTACGTTCCGATTCCAGTAAACCTTCCCATTTAAGAAGAATTTTACTTACTTTATCTGATAGTTCCCAATGTATGGCAAACTACGAAAACCGAATGAGTAATTTGTGGTGAAATGTTAAAAATAAGTTGGAGTTTGTTTTTTTATGAACATTTTGCTAGAGTATGCATATTTAAAAAAATACTAAACCCGCATGGTCTGGAAGCCCTCCCGAACTGTTGGCCTAATGCGCCGTTCATTATCACAAGGCAGTCTCATTAAAATTTGTCTGCTTGCGGTTATATTCACGTTATATTTCAGTATATTATCTTAATAATTTAAAATTTCACATGTATTGTTATTTTGTAATCATAGTACTGCCCAGTTTTTAATTTTATTATTTTTTTAG